AGCCCTTTGGTTTTGATAACTTCTGTAATTGGAAAACCTTCGACGTTTATTAATTCTTTAAGAGAAAGCTGCTTATGTGTGTTATAAGCTGCAATGTGAGACTGTAAACAAATTAGAATGGGTTTTCCAATGCTATTTAAAAAACAATAAGGGAACATGGCAAAAATCCTGCAATAATTACACCGAAAGTTCACTTAATAGTTAATACGTATGAAATACACAGAACACAGGATGTTATTATTAATAAAATGAACATATGGAATAAGGAAACTATAGTCAGAAACTCAACAGAAGAAAGCAAACAAATCAGTTCAAGATAGAAAATCAAACCAAAGGGCTATTAGTTTGGGCTATTGGCAAGGAAATTTTAAGTGAGTTGCTAAATCTTTAGCCTATGTCACTGTTTCAGCCCATGTGTCTCTTTGTTCTGAATTTGATTAAGCTTTTCATGATAGCTTAGTGTCAAAAGTACTGTGGCTAAATCTTTAAAAAATGCTTAGTTTGATAAGTTACATTATGCCTTATTCCAATTCATTAACAATAAGTATAGTCTTAAGACACTTTACTAAATCAATACCATGGAAACTTCTAAGCAGATAACTCCTTCAATAACACCCAAGCACACTAATTCTTTGTAACTTTGAGGAAAAAGAATGATTCATTGATGACATTTTTACAAAACAGCCGATTAGGAATAAAACACACAACAAATAACAGATTTCTGAGGCACAAACACAACGACAGTAGGGAGCAAAGTTGAGCGCCTTCAACCCCCTATAGATCAAACCTTCAATTCGGCGTACTAACCTTCTCCTGGAGTCTCTCCTTCCTGAGCTGTTGTTCGCTGTTGTTCACTTTTGAGGAGGTGGAGAGACGATTAGTGGGAAGCTGAATACAGATGGATGATGATACTACGAACATAAGAAGGGTGTATATATGAAAGATATGCTTCCGATTTAGAAGGGATTTTGAAGAGAAGCAACTATCTTTGGTTAATCAAACTGTTGTTTTGTAAGGTACCCGCGGGTTAGCGTATCGATGGAAGAACACAGACATTGGAAAGGGATGAATAATCGAACGGGTGAAGATACCAGCGGGTGAGCTTTACGGACGGTTGGGATGAGTGATTGGATTAGGCGGGATTACTGTAGCATGAACAGTGATTTTACTGTAGCGTGAACAGTGAATTTTTGTATTTCTAAACAATCCTTAGGATGCTTTTACTTGGACTGTAATCTGTCCCAGACCAGAACAAACCAGACCAAACTTGAATACTTATAAAAATACAAAGAAACCAGACATTATCAGACCAAGCCAGTTCAGACCAGACCAACAAATTACAGTCCAAGTAATTCTAAACTCCAACAAACTTGGTCCACAAAGACCAAAACTTTAAATGATAAATAGTGGTAATGTGGAAATGTAAATAGTATGTGGAGTTTAATTTGGGAAAGTATTCATATATCTTGGATAACCTAAAAAAGAAAGTGTCTCTCATAAAATAGAATGAATGTATATTAATATTTATGAGTATTTATTTCCTCAATAACAATTACAAAATATTTAGGACATTTTTTTTGCCTCATATAGTCATTTTTCTTACCTCATACAAATAGAAGAAAAGAAAAGTGTAAAAACATAAATTAAACTTTAGTGACTCGAAAAATGTAGAATATACGAATAGTTTCAAGAATACAAAAATATACACTTTGGCATTCCTAAATTCTCCACAACTTTCATTTATCGTTCTTCAAATTTTAACTTATTTTTTAAAAAGTTAATATAAAAAATATGTTATTACATGTCAAAAATTGATTGAAAGGTCATATTGATCGATTTTTTAAAAGTAAACATACTTATACGATATGTTTTTAGTATAAGGAATTTAAGTGATAAATTGATAGTAGAAGAAACTATTTGACCTTTTTCCCTTTTCTATTTAAAAAAACTGCTCATTACGTACCATTATACTCCATAATAGAATGTAATTTTAAACATGTTGTGGGTGTGTTTGGCATTTAGTGGTTATGTTAGCGGGTTTTTAATAGCGGATTCAGTTAGCGGGTTTGGCTGGCGGAATAAGTTGGCCGGTTGCCAAAAGATGTTTGGTAATTTAGCATTTTGACCATAACAATTAGTAGAAAACGTCATATTTCAAAATTTTAATCCAAAATTCTCATATTTGTAGCGTTTTCATTTCAGTGTTTTCGTTCAAAAAGGTTAGAGTGGTCAACTATATACTAAACAACATTTTCACTTAGTGAAAACCCTAAAGGGGGTCAAACTATCATTTTTTAGCTGAAAGACCATTTTCCAAACACCCCCTATTTCTCCACTCTAGATACATCCCGTGCATCGCACGGGTATTTCGTCTAATAATAATAATAATAATAATAATAATAATAATAATAATAATAATAATAACAATAACAATAACAATAACAATAACAATAACAATAACAATAACAATAACAATAACAATAACAATAACAATAACAATAACAATAACAATAACAATAACAATAACAATAACAATAACAATAACAATAACAATAAGAATAACAATAAGAATAACAATAACAATAACAATAACAATAACAATAACAATAACAATAATAATAATAATAATAATAAAAACACACACTGGTTCTTTTAAAAGTATCCACCATTAAAACTATTTAATGGTTTTGGTGATGGGGATATAAAAACTCCCACTTCAGAATACATAGAAATACAACAGTTTATTCAATAACGTATTATATCCAACACGAATACATTTGATAAAAAACAATTTCATAAATTAATGATACACTAATATATTTGATAAAAAAACAACTTCGTAAATTGATAAAAAATAATTACATAAATAGAATAAACAATTTCATAAATTCCTAAACACTATAGTAGTAGCATAGAGTCGACCAAAGATGACTTAAGGGAGTGTTTGCAACAACTTAAAAAAAAAAAACTTCTCAACTTTTGGCTTAAAAAAACACTTATTTACCAAACACTTCCAATTTTTACTTTTTCTCGGCTTGAGTGTGAAAAGTGTTTTTCCCTTTTCTATTACACAAAAAGCACTTATTTTACCAAACACTACCAACTTTTACTTTTCAAAATCACTTTTTTCTCAAACACAATCAATTTTTACTACTAATCACTTTTTCCTTACATCTCCAAAAGTGTTTTTTTAAGCAGAAGCAGTTGCAATCACTCCCTAAGTTCTTCAACTAAAATTATGCTCAATTATACGGAGTATAAGATACCGGGTAAACAAAAAATCATGAAAATTATAAATCCATTTGAGAATCTGAGATGAAACATAAATGATAAATATTACAATGATTTGAAATAGAAATTAAATAGCTTGGAGATTAACATACATACCTTCTCTTTGCTCTTGACGGTAGGGTTAATGAACACTGTGATGCAAAATCGGAGCAAGACAATTGACACGGAGAGGAGCTTTGCTCTACACAGAAGTTCCGATGTGTATAGAAAATCCGCTAACCAAAACAAGAAGGAAAGACCTAATTGGATGAGTCTTCGATAGTTTTGTCCGGAGGTTCAAAAGTTCGAATTAAAGAAACACAGAGAGCAAGATAAGCATACCTAGACCTCTCGTTTGAGGAAGCCATAAAAATTGTTGAAGGAGGAGTATGAATATGAAAGAGCAGAGCCGCAACTCGTAGATGATCGAAGTGGCTAGGTTTTCCTCATTAGCTTTAAGCCGTAAATTGTGAAGATTGAAAAGGGCTTAAGGTTGCTTTAGGCTAAAGGCTGAAAGTTGGATTTTAATTTTAAGCAATACTCCAATACGGAACTACAAAGTAAGTGGGATACAGAGACAACCCACTAACTGGTAGCTCCTCAGATGGAACTAACACTTAATGGTTCTATATCGGTTCCAAGGACAATTTTTTATGACAAACCGGGAACCGAACCGATAAATCCTAATAAGAACTGAACCGATATTTTGTTTAGAACCAAAAACAGGAACCAAACCGAGTTATATTGGTTCAGTTCTGATCATTTTTTCGGTTCCTGGTTCCAAAATCCCAGGCCTAGGATCTTCTTTCTTGGACCCTGCAATTTGGGAAATCTTTGTAAGAAAACAGCTACACAGGAAGATAAAAATCAAATTATGATCCAGAATTGGAACCAAGACATTGAAAGCATGTTTGTGGCACCATAAAGTTGTTTTCAGCAGATAAAAGTGTTTGGAAGCATCATGACGAGAGTTTCTCCACTGCCTCCCACAAGTATGCTCTTTCGAGATCTGACGCCATTATGAAACCATAGCCCTTATCACCCCCACTAGTACCCCAACTGTTAAGTATCTCAAAACACCAACACCGTTTATTAATCGAAACCCGGTTAGTACACAAGCATGTCATTCATTTTTGTAAGATAAACCCTCATTTTTTACGTACCGCAACTTTCGTATAAGGCACTTCACGTGTTGGAAAACTATTATTTGGCAAATAGCTAAAACCAGTTCTTATTTTGAAAGACACAATAAACGGACCGCTTGTTTTGAGCTCTTTCTTGAGTTTCTATATAAATTCTTGAAGAGGTACTGTCACGCCTAATGACCTTGGGTCCCACAGTAGTAACCAATCTTACTTTAGATTTCTTTAAATCATTTTCAAACTTAGTAAACCTTTGAATCTTATAGCAATTTTCAATCCCTTTTTTCCATTACCAGGGGTAGTTTTTCTCAAAAGCTACATTATGCTTTTTGAGGAACGTCTCAGTACGCTTATTATGCATTAGATGTGCTCCCTTCATTATATCTTTTTCTTCCAGGCCATCCAGCACGTGTTCAATAGACAAGTTACCAATTGCTCGTCTTTTTACGAGGCAATTGGTAACTTTGCTCGTCTTCTTCAGGATGAAGCAAGTCTGCCTCGTAAAAAGACGAGCAATTGGTAACTTGTCTATTGAACACGTGCTGGATGGCCTGGAAGAAAAAGATATAATGAAGGGAGCACATCCAATGCATAACAAGCGTATTGAGACGTTCCTCAAAAACCATAGTGTAGTTTTTGAGAAAACTACTCCTGTAAGGGGGGAAAGGGGACTGAAAATTGCTATAAGATTGAAAGGTTTACTAAGTTTGAAAATGGTTTAAAGAAATCTAAAGTAAGATTGGTTACTGCTGTGGGATCCAAGGTCATTAGGCGTGACAGTACCTCTTCAAGAATTTATATAGAGAAACTCAAGAAAGAGCTCAAAACAAGCGATCCGTTCATTGTGTCTTTCAAAATAAGAACTGGTTTTAACTATTTGCCAAAGAATAGTTTTCTAACACCGGAAGTTCCTTATACGAAAGTTGCGTTACGTAAAAAAGGAAAAAATAAGGTTTATCTTACAAAAATGAATGGCACGCTTGCGTACTAACCGGGTTTCGATTAATAAACGGCGTTAGTGTTTTGAGATACTTAACAATTGGGGTACTAGTTGGGGTGATAAGGGCTATGGTTTCATAATGACGTCATGCGTTGAAAAAGCATACTCCTGGGAGGCAGTGGAGAAACTCTCGTCATTATACTTCCAAACACTCTTATCTGCTGAAAACAACTTTAAGGTGCCACAAACACGTTTTCAATGTCTTGGTTCCAATTCTGGAGCATAATTTGATTTTCATCTTCCTGCGTAGCTGTTTTCTTACAAAGATTCTACTTGCCTTATCTTGTGCCACGCGCCAACCATAAGAGTCCAGCTGCTCTTGAAAAGAGACATTCATAGGTTTTTGTGTCCATGCAATTATACTGCTGAAATGAGTCGTTCTCAAATCATATCACAAGGTAGCATTTTAGCCTTCGGATGTGTTCATTGGATTGTTCAATGTTTTGTGCCTGATCGAGTTCTTTCAAAACTTGTAGAAACTCATGACAAATCTTTGTACATGCAAAAAGGCTATGTCAACATCTTTTATCCTGTGTGTCAATTGGTTGTTACTGCATTTTCAAATCCAATATGAATGCAGTTAGATACAGTGTGTTTTATAGTGACATATTACAACTATGTGAGTTGGGTTTGTGATAACACACATCTTCATAAAAGGAAAGATTTGACTACAGAAAGAGGTAGGGATATGGCCATAGGGGTAGACACTGTCCCGGTTCTGGTCTGGAAATGTGGTCTCCAAATGGGAAGTCTTGTTCGATTTGGTTCAAGGCATGGATCTGGTGCAGTTCTGGAGATTATTCTACCCACAGGTAGGGATGGACTGGGTCAAGCCGGGCTCCAGGCCCGTCTTGGGCAGTACTGGATTTTTGGGGTTAAGGCCCGATACCGGCCCGGGATTCATTGGGACGTGCCCAGGATCGGGTCGGGCGCGGTTATTTTTTTTAAATTAGGCTTTTCTAAGTTATTCCTACCCCCACCTCCAAACTCCGCAAAAACACCTAGCCCAACCCACCTACAAAAAATAATGATTGGATGTTTGTGTAAAAAGTAGAATATGCAAAAACAGAATAAAAAATATGCAGAACCTATACAAAAAATAGAATAAAAAATAGAAGAACATATGCTTGTGTAAATGGAATGCATGAACCTAGAGAAGATAAATTAATTTCATTTTAAGTTAGGTATGCACGCGACTTTTTAAAAAGTGATGAAGTGTATTAGTTTTGGTAGATTTGAATCTGCTATTAATACTGTGGCACGGTGGTCATCATTATATTAAAACAAAGAAGAGATGAAAGGATTCAGTCCAAAGCAATGGTGTAGTTTGTCATTCATTGCTGCTCATCATTCTGAAACCAAACCAAAGATAAATAGTATTCTCAACTTATGTGTGTAATACAAAAAAATAGCAATGCCATGAAAAGTTGAATTATTGAACTGTAAGTTTCTAAGTTTCGGAAGTCTCAGATTTTCACAAGGATATAATACATCAGACATACTTTTATGCTCTGAAAAATCACAACTTCAGATTCAAACCAATGGTATAGTTTGTCATTCATTCTTGCTAATCATTCTGAATCCAAACCAAAGATAAATAGTATTCTCAACCTATGTGTATATACTGTGTGTACATGAAAGAAGAAATAAGTAAAAAAGAAGAGATGAAAAAGAGGAACAAAGCTTTAAATGGAAGAGTAACAAATAAAAGAACCCCCACCAGATAAGAATAAAAAATAGAACATATGCTTGTGTAAATGGAATGCATGAGCCTAGAGAAGATAAATTAATTTCATTTTAAATTAGATATGCAGGCAGCAGGCCACTTTTTAAGAAGTCATGAAGCGTATTAGTTTTGGTAGATTTGAATCTGCTATTAATACTGTGGAATGGATTTAGACTTTAGATTCAACGCACTGGTACTAAACTTAACATAAATTGGAACCTCATGAAACATTGTGCTTCCAAAAGCAATTTAAGATGCTTAAAGCTGATCTTCTCAAAGTGAATGAATGTTCAAAGTTGAAAGAAACATTTCAAAATTTTATTTTAATTGGTATGAAATTAGATCTAAATTAACATCACCTCCTCATCAATCAAAACAGACTCAACCGATCTGATGCCCAACTCCCGATTCCGGAAAGGCATAGACCACTTTCTTGCAACCAGACAAAAAAATGCAGCTTTCTTCTGCATTTCAAGTTTGACACTCGTCAGATGGAGTTTCAGAGGGGCCATAGTTTGTTTTCTTATGAATAGTAGAAGTATGAACGATGAATGGTGTGTGAAAAAAGAACTACGGTGAGTGTGTTTAAATAGGAAAACAATGAATTTCATAGATGCTAAGGCAAAAAAATCAATAATCAATATCAATAATCAATAATAATAATAATCAATAATCATGGAGTGCGGAAGGATTCGCCCTTTTTTTAGAGGGAAGATTGCAGAGCAGCGGACGTAAGAAAGATAAATCATACCTTTGTGAGACAGATTTGCGGTGGCACGATTCATACGCTGGTTGTGAAGCCGAAAAGGGAAGGATTCGCAGAAAGTAAAGCAAAATTGAAGCTGCCCAAGCGGATTGTCTGTCATGAAATTGCGCAAGCAGACCAAAATGTAACATCGATGCGCTGAATTTGGGGCGCTGAATTTGGGGCTGGAGAAGATACTGTGCGATTGAGGAAGAAATCAATTGGGAGAAGGATGTGGGGGAGAAGATAACATGCGCTGAATTTGGGGCGCTGAATTTGGGGCTGGAGAAGATACTGTGCGGTTGAGGAAGAAATCGGAGAAGGATATGGGGCTGGAAAAGATAACGTGCGCTGAATTGGTTGTGGTAGGTAAATAAAAAATACTATATAAAAAATAAAAGATTATAAAAAATAATCATAAATAAAAAATATAAATAATAACAATAATAATAATAATATATAATATTATATATATATATATATATATTAATATATAAAAGCAAAAGATTTTGATGAACATGGTTCCCGCTTAAAACTATCAACATCAAGAGAAAAAGAAAAAAAGATAAATGAATAAATATAATCCTAATGGAGTTTGGCGTGTTAGCTGAGTAGGATACTGTTTGGGGATGGGGAAGATAATAGTGCAGAAGAAAATTAAGAAACTGAGGGCACGAGTGAAGACTTGTAAGAATTCTTAGTTGCGGCCGAGATGCTGTGGACTGGGGAAGAAGAATCTATCTTCCACAGAAGTAGTCCGGCCAAAGAAGCGAAAAGAAGATAAGGGAGCTAAGTTGGGGCGGTAGGTTGAAGAGGAGAAGGCGGATTAGCGGATTGCTTTTCCTGAGTAAAATCACAAAAAGGACCACACCCTTTGAGCGAGAGAAGGCTCAAAAAAGATGACTGGCTGCTCTTTGTGGGAGCTACCGAGACACTAAAACTATCACCAAATTATATAGCCATGTAGGTACAAATAAGCCCCTTAATTAGTGCAAAATAGAGAGAAGATACTTGAGACACTAAAACTATCATCAAACTATATAGCCATATAGGTACAAATAAGCCCCTTAATTGGTGCAAAATAGAGAAGAAACGTACATAAGACACCTTGCTTTGTTTTTCACTTTTCATTCATCTTTCTTTTGTTTTAGTTTTCCTGCTTCAGCAAGAGAGCTATCAATATGAAGAATTAAAAAACAAAATAGAAGGCCTTAAAATCTAAACGAACTGCTATTAATATTTTTAGAAAATACTTTGAACAAATTTAATAGAAGGCCTTTTATACTTTATTGATAAAAGTATAAAATTCAAACTTTAGAAAATACTTAGAATGTAGAAATGTAAAATTATTGTTGCATAACAAAGTAAAATAGGCTATTCTGGTCTAATATGGGTGACTTAATTTAAACAGTTAAGAATATATTGACATTGAAATGAACTCATCAAGATGAGCTCCGCAAGGGCATTGATTTCAGATTAAAGAATTGCCGAAGAACTAAATAGTCAAGGAAAATAACGATTTTGATTGAAACAAAATACCTAAGGAGGCGGAGTGAATCCATAGCAAAGGCTGGAGTCTGACTTTGCTTTTATGACAGATTTTTCTCTCTGTGAAACTCCGGTAAAAGCATAACAGGTTTAGTTTCGGCCGGGGTGTTTTATAATCTTTTCCATGAGTTTAATTTATGAGTCCCACATAATGAAAAAATTTCCAGCACACCGCCAACACGTGATCACACTCCAGGTGCCTCACTACCTTTATCATGCCTTTCTTGAATCGAAAGATAGTAAATCATATCAACATAGAGAAATAGCCATGACAAATTAATATTATTAACCGAAGTGTATATCATAAACTAATTTTAAAAAGAATAATCTTATTATAAATAAGCTAGTAAAAATGTAAAATTAAAAGCTAAAAGGACAAAATAGATTGTTTAACATTTAAACTATTGAAAGGAATGTCCTCTTACTTAACTTTCAAGTTTCAACTTTGTCTTATTAAGACAATTAACTTTAGAATTAACATCTTTCTTTTTCATTTGTCATTCATCTTTCGTTTTTTTGCTCCAGCAAGAGTCATATCAATATGAAGAATTGAAAAAACAAAGAGAATTCAAAATGATCTTCATAAGTGCTAGAAACGTTATTTGATCAGAAAAAACCTAATCTAGAAGAAATACCTAATCTAAGGTCAATTTGAATGGATGGGAAAACTCAATTTTAAGAAGAAGGGACTGAGGTTACATTTTCTCGATGTAGTGGAAGAAGGAAGCTCTCAGCCACGGTTAATTCTCTTATCCAGTGACAAAAGATCGATTTGGCGAAGTTTCCATCTAATCTGAAACCGGAAAAGAATTTTAGTTCTTAAGAAAATGCCTTAACTATAATAAGACCAGATCACATGGAAAAGATTAGATCAAAGAAGAGGACCAATTGTTCATTAGGGGAGCTACCTCAGGCCTCGGGTCCGGGGCATTGATGGCTTCGAACAGCTGGGGCGGTTTGCTCTTCCATTGCGCCTGACGGCTAAGAGAGGCAGACGGAGCTTGACGATCTCTACAATTGCAGCAAAGATCGCCGATTTGAATGTTAAGTGTGGACTCTAGAAGAAGAAGAAATCTTGAAATTGGAGTTCGCATCCGGCTGGAGAAGAGCAGGCATCGAAATAGGAGGGTTAGGCTAATCGGCTGAAGAAAAACAGTGGCTATCGTTTTGGCACAATGGAAGATAACTGTGTGATTGATTATGGGATAAGGGTCAGTTTGGTCCTCGAAGTTGCAAAAAAACAGTCAAATAAGTCCTTATATAGAAGATTCTGTCTGGAAGTGTCATTTGAGGTGGTTCCCGGTGGAATTTTTTGATGAAATTTTTTGAGCATCTTATTCATTAAGTCTAGTTTACTCATATCAAATTTCAGATAAAAATTCAATCGGGAAGACATTGAAATGAATTCTTGAAGATAATTGTGCCGTTAAAAGCGTAGTTATCTTCAAGAATTCATTTGAATGTCTTCCCGATTGAATGTTTAGCTGAAATTTGGTATGAGTAAACTAGACTTAATGAATAAGATGCTCAAAAAAAATTCTCAAAAAATTCCACCGGGAGCCACCTCAAATGGCACGTCCGGACATAATCTTCTATATAAGGACTTATTTGACACCTTTTTTACAAGTTCGAGTACCAAACTGACCCTTTACTCGATTGTGATTATAGTTCATTCTTACTTTATTCATACTTATCAAATTCAATGTCGAATATACAATTTCACTTTCCTAAGAAATTGCATCACCCTCGTGTCTCAATCTTAGGGGCGGGGTAACAATATAAACCATATGCGTTGAAAAGTGATGAGAGTCTAACATCTCATGGTGCTAAAGTAAGTAGGCATAGGATGTTTTCAATTGGAGTGTAATTTTATGATCTTGTTTGGTCTAATATGTTTAAATCTAATATGATCAAATCTTATCTAGATTGATCTGGTCTGATATAGCATATGTATGTTATAGGTGTATTTTACAACTATCGAGTCCGATCCGGTGTGATCTTGTCTAATATGGATAAACTCAATTCGAAAATCAGCCCAACCATGACAGCTCTCAACTTCTGATTCCTTCAAAATGAGATGGGGTCAATTCTGATGCTCGGGATATACAAATAAAGGACAAAACTACACCATAACCTTATTTGAAAAGATAAAAAGCTCGTTCGGGGACCCTGTTTTTCAGCTTATCAACCAACGTTTTAATCAAACACCTAATTTTTGATTTCGCGTGTTGAATTATGTAATAATAACAAAAAGTAAGGTTGGAGTTGCTGACTGTATTGGGTGAAGTTATGATAGATGATCATTTTAGCCATTTTTCATATAATTTTTTCTTTGTTTTATTAATAAAATATATTTTAAATATAGTTTATTCATTATTAGCAAAATCAGCAAATACAACCACTTTAGCCAAAACTTCATAAATTTTAGCAGAATCAGTTAACTCAAACTGATTCCAGTGGTATCAAACAGGCTCAAAATGTATGTACATTCTCAAAAAAACAAAAGATAGTTGTGGTCATTGATAAATATAGTGGTTCAATTAATTTCAGTATGTTATGCCATTTGGCTTTTATACTATTCCAGAATTCAAACACAAAATAACCAAAAATAGTTTAAACTGAAAAGAATCAACACGATATGCATAAGAAAATGGTGTTACAACTTCACACCTTTATAGCTATATACAAATACAAGATGCATATGCCATATATATTTTTCTCTCATAATGTGTGCATAGAATGTAAATGAGAAATAGTAATATGGAAAAGTCAATTAACATTTCCACTTAATGCCTAGACAACTAAGGGAGTGTTTGCAATAGCTTAAAAAAAAGCACTTCTCAGCTTTTGGCTTAAAAAAGCACTTATTTACCAAACGCTTCCAATTTTTACTTTTTCTCGGCTTGCGTGTGAAAAGTGCTTTTCCCTTTTCTATTACACAAAAAGCAATTATTTTATCAAACACTACCAACTTTTACTTTTCAAAATCACTTTTTTCTCAAACACTATCAACTTTTACTACTAATCACTTTTTCATTACATCTCCAAAAGTGCTTTTTTTTAAGCAGAAGCAGTTGCAAACACTCCCTAAGGGGGTGTTTGGAACTGATTCTGCTTCTGCTTCTTTTTTAAATCAGAATCAGAATCAGAATCAGTTTTCAGAAGCTAGTCCCCCCCAGCTTCTAAAAAAACTGATTCTAAGAGTAAATTAGAGCCCCATAATCACTTCTGCACTTTCACCCAAACACTCCAGCTTCTACTTCTGCTCCCCGAAGGAGCAGAAGCAGTTTTAAGAATCAGATCCAAACACCCCCTAAATATAACTTAGGGCATAAACACATTGCAACTCACATATGGGGAAAGTTGTAAACTGTAATACTAACAATTTATTTAAATAGTATAAATACGTACATGAAGGGACATTTAATGCATAAAGTTTCATCTCCTTCCTCTAAATTGTCCCAGAACTTGAGTTTTGGATCCATAGCTCGAAACTGCAAAATTTAGACCATAATGCTTTGCCTCATATCCTTCCATACAAATTTGACTTTATCAGGACTACCTTTCTTTATATGTTGCATGGCTATGAAAATATTAGAAGATACAATATCTATTTCATGACAATCATCAAGTACCTTTAACTAAATGAGAAGCCTAAAATTCAAGATTATGTTCTTGATTGAAATGATTATCTACAAAAAGAATAAAACCTTGAAATACCACTGTTTCATATTAACTACAATAATGAAATGGAATAAAAGGAAAGAAAGAAAGTGAAAAATTTTGGTTATAGTGTTCTTATATAGAAATATTCACCTTCACGGTAAGTATACCCTAACAAATGCCCAAAAAAACACCTCAACTCACCATGGAACAGAGATTCAAAAAGATTTCAAAGTTAAAAATCTTAACTGGTTTTTGAATTTGCAATATTACAAATCTTGGGAACCCTAACATGGAACCAAGATCCAAAAAGTTGATTTCTCCATATTTGATATGTTCTTAATCCTAAAGCCACCTCTTGAAAAGAAACATAAAAAGCAATCTTTTGGATGTGGGACATGGATGATTAACAAAGCTTAAGGAAAAGGAGTCAAAATATTGAACACTCCAGGTGAGACACATATAACCATAAATAAAATTTAGATGCAAAGTAAAATAGTAAATATATAAATATAGATATAAGTTGTACAAAATATCATTTCCTTGACAATAGATGCATAAGGTTTCTGATTTATCCGATCTGGTACTAACACGCATTGGATCTTCCTACACTATCGTATAACATGATAATATAAGCACAATGTAGCACAAATGAGTGGAATTGGAAAACAAAATCAAAACATCACTGGTGCATATCAACACTAATAATGAAATGTATAGCTAATCCTTTTATAGAAATTCTTATTCATTAAGAAGAAACTTGTGTGCCAAATGTCCAAATCAAAGAGTTGCAATTCCATTATTTCACCCGTGCGTTGCACGGGATATAATGGGCAAATATTATTAATATTTTATAGGTGAGTTTATGGATTTCTATACAAAATTAAAATATAAATTATCACACAAATAATTGAAATCATAAATACTTCTTTTAGACATCCCTAATAATTAGATTTTTAAATTACACATATTGTTAGAAGACTTTATTATAATCTCACTACCAGTTAAATATCACAAATAGAAAAGGCTCTCATATTATTTTTAATTTCCCAAGTTTATTTCATCAAAAAATGAATCAAACGTAAGGAAACCATAAACGTAAACCCAAATGGTTTCAACTAAACTAATTATCAAATGGCTCTTATTCTAAAGTCTAAACGTAGTATATCTGTTACACCAATGATATATTTCCCAAGTAAAAAACCTAATCTTTTAAAGTAAGGACTACCTTTTCTTTATTAACAAATAGAATAAGTTTTTTAATCGGATCTTAGCTATGATCAGGATTCTATCCCTGATCAAGTTGTAAAAAAGGAAAATTATACTTTTCTTATCACGCAAATGGAAAATATGGTTACTCTGTTACACCAATGATATATTGGCTAATACTAACACCATATCATTTTACAACAATTGACAAACCATTGGTCCCAAAAGAATTACAAAGGTATGAATCAGTATGAATCCGAAAATTTGAGTAAGTAAACACACTCATTTATCCTGAAAAAGAAATGAATTACAAAAATAAACCGATTAGTTCAAAATTTTGAAGAAAAATGTCACCATGTTGCTTCACCTTTCCCCTGAACAACATCAGATAATGTTCTCTGATTGCCCCCATGCAGCCCCTCTTGTTTGAGCTTCACCAATCACTTCATCAATCTGCACAAAACAAATGCAATTCAAATAGATGAGTGTAGGTATACCTAGAAGTATCATGGCAATGATAATCACAGAACTGTTGTAGCATTAACCGGCTCATAAAAAAATAGGTTTTGCCATACTTGTATGCTTAAAAACATTCTACGATTTCTGCCAAACACTTTTGTGATGCGAATAAGATATTACATACATCCCTTGCAAACTTTCATGATCTATAGGTATCTTCCATTCTAGTATGCTTAGGAATCCTAAACATCATCAGTATTTAATCAAACAAATGCAGTGTACCCATACAATAATTTCCCACCCCATCAAAAGAATGATTTTCCAAATCCGCTTTCTATTGTGCCCGAAACATTGTTCAGTTTCCTAAAACAAAATCCGAAACAAATAATAATGCCCTGCAATGACTTAACAGCTAATAACATGAGAAAGAATAGTTATCTGACTTTTCATGGACATGAGAGAATGTTTCGGTTTTGTTTCTCTATATTGAATGAACTTTAGTGGTGCTAATTCAGCACCTAAGGATCATTATAAAACTCCGTTCTCTATTTCAGCAAAGTTATCCATGAAGTTTATTATTTATATATTAAAGGTTATCATTTTTAGGAAACAGGAGAGGCCTAAGAAGATAAAAAATTATATTGGTACCTCAACATCTTAAAATCAAATTTGGATTTCAAAGTGCAGGTATAGGAAAAAAGAAACAATGAAATTGATCCAAAACTTTGGTTTTGATTTGGATCAATTGATTCAAGAATGGTAACTCTGGAAAAAAGAATTAATCCAGAAAAGATGCTGTTTTGCTACCCCATTCGGAGTTCCGAACATTTTCAATTGAG